TTGAGCTCTGAGCAACAGTGGTTCGAGTCAGCCCGAGCTGAGCAGCCGTGAGCTGCCAACAGGTGGCAGGATGGCTCAGCTAAAAAAAAAAAAAATTGTATCATACTATAGTATCTTTCTGTGACTTGTTTGTTTACCCAATAATATACTTTTAAGATTCAAACTTATTACATCATGTAGTTGTAGTTCCCTACTTTTCATTGTTTTGTAATATTCCACCAAACCACTCTATATTTACCCATTCCCCTGTGGATGTGACACTGAGTTGTTGTTTCCAGATCTTTGCTATTTTGACCAATGTTGTTATGGAGATTATTTTTTTGTCTCATGTTGTATTGTACATGTACAGGAGTTTCTCTGTGGGCATGTACTCAGGGGTGGAATGGAAAGGTATGCAAATTTTCATCTTTAAAAGATGACACATTTTTCCCCAAAGAGGTTGCACTAATTTACACACTGTAAGCAGTGGGTCAGACTTCTTGATGTTTGTCAATCTAGTGTTTTAAAATTTTACATTGTCAGAGTCTTAACTGGAGATTCTTTATGGAAATTTTCTTTTTTAAAAGAATTCAAAATGAGACCCAGAGTGGTAAAGTCATTTACTTACCCAAGCCAGCTGGTAAGTGGTGTAGCCAAGATTTGAATCCAGGTCTCCTGGCCCATGCCAGTTGACACTACTTGTCTGCCTCTTACGTCTCCAGAAACCCCTCTCCCTTTCCTTTTGCCTCACCTGCGCTCCACAATCTTTTTGAACTCAATGCGCATGAGCTGGCCCCGGGACTGGGCCTGGATACGGGTGATGATGCGGCTCAGCCTCTCGTCTCGCATCTCCTCCAGCAGCCCCAGCAGCCCCGCCTTGAAGAACACCTGTGGCCAAGGGGGAGAGCCAAGGGGGCCACAGCTTCAGAGAAGGGTATCCAGGGTGAAGGAAACGGGTGGGAGACCCTGGCTGAGCTCCCAGGGACCCATCACCTGCTCATCCTAGACCTGAGAGTGAAATGTGAAAGACAAGACAGAAAGAAGGCCTGGCTTCCAGCACTTGGGGTGATACAGGAAGCCAGGAGCCAGGGTCTGCCTTCCAAACTCCCAGCTGCTCCACTCAACATGGCCACACAGCCTGCAATTCCACCCTATGGGGCTCTAGACCCACCTTGGTGTGGCCGAACTTGTACTGGTTGTGGTCAATGTCCAGGGAGCCCAGCAGCTTCTCTGCCCCTTTCCTGCTGTCAATGAACTGTCCTTCGGGGATGGCTGCTGGATTCAGGATGCGATACCTGGGAGGGAGGTGCCCGGAATCACCTACGTTCTTCACCGATCTGCTCTGCCCTCAGAGCTCGGGGACCCCTGCAGACTCCCCACCCCATCAAGGTCACCGGGGCACCCCCCTGTTCCCTGAGCCCTGGGGTGCCTTGTACCCACCTCTGTCGGAAGTCCCCATAGAGGATACGGTTTGGGAAGCCCTTCCTGCAGATGCGGATGCCCTCTAGCACGCCGTTGCAGCGCAGCTGGTGCATGACCAGGGGGTTGTCNATCCGAGAGTCTCCATGTACCTTGAGCAAGCTCTGGAGGCCCTTGACTTGCTTCTGGGCCTCAGCGGCCATGCGGTTGGCGTGGCTGAGCTGGATCTCCATCTCGTTGAGGTCGCCCTCCATCTTCTTCTTCACCCGCAGGGCCTCGTTGCGGCTGCGTGTCTCTGCGTCCAGGGAGGTCTGCAGCGAGTCCACCACCCGCAGGTGGTTGCGCTTGGCCTGCTCCATCTCCTCGTCCTTCTCGGCCAGCTTCCGCTCAATCTCTGCCTTGATCTGGTTGAACTCCAGCTGGGCCCGAAGGATCTTGCCCTCCTCGTGCTCCAGGGAGGCCTAGTGGGAGCAGAGGGCAGGGAGAGAGGGTCAGAGGCAGAGAGTGAGGGCATTGATGGGGTAGGGAGGGAGGACAAGAGGATTTGGGTGTCAGCCAGGACTATGGCCCAGAGAGAAAGAGCTGGGAAGAGACAGGGAGGTGGGACCTGCCTCCCAGGCCACCTGGGTGCTCTGGGGGAGGAGGTGTAGGATGCCCTGGGCTTCTTCTGTCAAGAAAAATGTTTGGACCTCACAATTGCCAAGGCCCCCCCAGCACCAACACTGCATGATCCTGACTTATCTAAAATAGCATAGAAAAAGGAGAGGTTTTTTATAACCACAAATTCAAAATTTTACCTTTGTTTCTCAGGCCCTGCACCCTTTAGTGAAAAAAGTTAGAAGCTCAAAAATTCAGCGCTGTTCCTAGGTTCGTAAAAATGAACAGTAACAATAGCTTATATATATTAAGTGTTTAAGTGTGTTACCTCGTTTAATCTTCATAAATATCATGCATAAATCTTAGGTATATACAATTAATTTCATTTTACAGGTGAGGAAACTGAGGTACAGAGAAGTTAAGGAACTTGCCCAATGACACACTGGAGGTCCTAAAGCCAAGTTTAAAACTCAGGTCTGTTTGATTCTGCAGCTCATGCTGCCACCCACTGTCTGAGGTGTTATTATGATGGCCAGGCTTCAACTTTACAAACTGGTGGGAAACCTAATCTTATGGCCAATGATCAGAGTGTGACGTTTCCTTTGTGCAGACTTTGGCTTTGGAGGAAGTCATGGCTAGTGGGTAGACAACCTTGGACTAAGAATAAGGAACTAATAGCTCTTTGTTTTGGAGTCAGGGTCACCCGCCGGTGAGGAAGACTTGGGGAGATAGAGACAGTAGGGTTGGGGGGACCATGGAAGGGTCCAAGGCAGAGGTGTACACAGAGCGAGGCCCTCACCTCGGCCTCCTCCAGGGCTGACTGCAGCTCCAGCTTCTCCACCTCCAGCTGCTTTCGGACCTTCTCCAGCTCATGTACATTCTTTCCTCCTTCTCCCAGCTGCTCAGTCAGGTCAGAGATTTCCTCTGAGGGTCAGAGGGCCAGAAAGCTCAAACCCTGCGTTCTCCCTGCCCCAGAGTGGCCCACCCTGCCCCTGCTACTCCTGGCCTCAGGCCCCAGCGCACCCTGAAGGTTCTTGTTCTCTCGCTTGAAGGTTTCCAGGTGCTCCAGGGACTCCTCGTAGGCGTTCTTGAGCTTGAAGAGTTCAGTGCTGAGGGAGCGTGCCTCCTTCTGTGAGGACTCCAGCTCTGACTGCGACTCCTCATACTTCTGCTTCCACTCAGCCAGGATCTGTGGGGACAGAGATGGAAACAGGGTTGAGGCTCACTGTGCAGTCCCCAGCCCCAGCCCAGCCCCCACCTCCAGGGTTGCCCAGGCCCTTCACCTGGGCTCAGCCTCCTCCCTGCCTCCAAGGAGGATGGCCCTGGCCTCACACTGATGCCAGTCCCCCTGCTCTGCCTCCTGGCTGTGTCCCCCACCAGGGCCCACCTTGTCGAAGTTCCTCTGCTTCTTGTCCAGGGCTGCAGCGGCCGCGTTGGAGCGCTCCACATCCACCATCAGGTCCTCAATCTCGTTCTGCAGCCGGTGCTTGGTCTTCTCTAGCGATGAGCACTTGGCGTTGACGGCCTCCACGGCCTCCTCGGCATCTTGTAGCCGCTGGGCCAGCTTCTTCCTGCCCGATTGGTTGGGGGTGTGTGTGTGTGTGACACTACCCAGGAACAGCAGGTCCTTGGGACCACCCCCTCCTCTGGACTGCCACTTGAGGAGGACCGACCCTGTTCCCATTGCTCCTTGGGATGATGAGCAGCCCCTTTAGGCCCCAGGACCCTAGACTTGAGGGCGCCAAGGCTACAGGTGCCTAGAATAGTCTCCTCTTCACATGCAGTGGCATTTTGGTGGCAGCCCAGACCTGTCTCCATGCCAGGCTGATCGATGGTAGCTCCTCTGACCAACAAGCTTTTTGCTCGTCTTATACGTGAGCGTCAGGTATAACCCGGGCCAAAAGCTCGCCCGTCACAGGAAGTAAGTCAGGGCCAGTTGAGGTTCACTCAGAGTGCAGGATACAGGCTCCCTTTCAGGCACCTCTATTGCCCACCACATTTCTCCCAGCCTCCTGTCTCTCCCACCTCAAATCTCCTTCCCACTCTGCCTGCCTTACCCCATGTCCTTGGACTCCTTTGCCTCTTAGGTTCAGGTGAGGGACTGCCCAGGACTCACTTGGCCTCCTCCAGCTCCTCGGTCCGCTGGATGGCATCTGTCTCATACTTGGTCCTCCACTGGGCCACCTCTGAGTTGGCCTTCGACAGGACACGCTGCAGCTCAGCCTTGGCCTCTGTCTCCTCCTCATACTGCTCCCGCAGCAGGTCACAGTCGTGCCTGGCCGACTGCAGTGCGTGGGCCAGGGCATTCTTCGCCTGGGGAAGTAAACACCTGGAGGTTAGCTCCGCTCCTAAGAAGGTGGGAGGAAATGCCCTTTCCACGTGCTCTGGATCTTCTTCATGTCCAGGAACTTCAACTAAGCCCCAGCCTCATTCAGGGTGAGAGCTGGTGTGGAATCTCGATGTCCTGAGGTAGCTTCCCAGCTTGCCCACCCCACCCTCTTACAAATAAGAAAAGAGGCATTTGAGGATGTCGGGTATGGCTTAGGTGAAGAATAGAAGAACCTAGACTGGAGGTCTTTTCATTACAGAGGCCTCTCTTCACGCTCCAGGCTCCGTTTCTGCTGTTGATGTTAATTGTCCCAGGGCTGCCATCAAGCCTCACCTTAACCTCTTCCTCCAGCTGCCTCTTGAGGTCCTCCATTTGCTGAGTGTAGGAGAGCTTCCCTCGGGTCAGTTGGGAGATCAGGGCCTCCTTTTCTTCCAGTTGCCTGGATAGCTCACCTGGAAGTGGGAATGTAGGTTTGTGGACCGTAGAAGAGGGCAACTGATGCCGTACCCTGGGCCAAATGCAGGGTCGGTTAGGAGTACCCACCGTTCTCAGTCTGCAGCTTGGCTCGCTGGGTGGTGAAGTCGTTGAGGGAGCGTTGGGCCTCTTCCAGCTTCATGCGGTACTCGTTGGCCTGGTCCTCCAGTGTCCTGGACATCTTCTCCAGGTTTGCCTTCAGGCAGTAAGGAACATGGGAAGGGTGACTGTGGGAGGGGCTGGACTTGTCAGAGAGAAGGGGCCAGGGGGACCAGAAGAAGGAAGGGAGGGTCACGGTGGGGAAAGCATGGAATGCAGGGTGGTGAAATGGGGCTGTAGCTGGAAGGGCACAACCTGAAGAGGGTACGTAAATTAAAAACGGAAAGATGGTGAGGAGATGGAAACGTGGGTAGAAGGGGAGGGAGGGGCGGGGGGGAGAAACAGAGAGACAGAGAGAGAGAGACCAAAGGGTGATGGAGAGAGTGAGAATAAGAGAGATAGCAGATAGCGAAAGTGGAAGGAAGGTGCAAGCTGTAAGGGAGAAGAGGGTGAGGAGAGGCTGGGCACAGGCCAACCTTGGCCTTGATGATCTGCTCCATGTTGGAAGTGACATCATCCAGCTCCAGCTTGAACTCGCTCTTCTCCTTCTCCAGCTTCTGCTTCACGCGCTGCAGGTTGTCGATCTGCTCGCCCAGCTCGGCCACGCTGTCAGCGTGCTTCTTGCGCAGGGCCGCTGCTGTGGCCTCATGCTGCAGCGTGGCCTCCTCCAGGTCCCGCCTCATCTTCTGGAACTCAGCCTCACGCTTCTTGTTCATCTCGATCTGCACGGACGTGGCGCCGCCAGCCTCTTCCAGCCGCTCGCTGATCTCCTCCAGCTCCCGGGACAGGTCTGAGCGCAGCTTCTCCACCTTGGCGCGGGCGGTGCGCTCAGCCTCCAGCTCCTCCTCGAGCTCCTCGATGCGAGCCTGGGCCAGGACACAAAGGACTCAGACCCACTGCCTGGAACCCTCCGTGGGAGCCCCCTCCCCTGGCTCTAGAAGACTCCTGGCCCAAGCACTCATGCCCTGTAGAGCAGTGGTTTTCAGTCAGGGGAAATTTTATGCCTTAGGGGTCAGTCAGCAATGCCTGGAGACATTTTTGATTAAGACTGGTGAGGGAAGTTGCTACTGGCACCTAGAGGGCAGATGCCAGGGGTGCTGCTAAACATCCTATTGTACATAGACCATTAGCAGTAATTTGGTTGAAGCCAAAACTTCAAGGTACTTTTCAGGGGCATCTCAGACCCAGTCTGAGAATATGCAGCCCTGAATCCTGAGAATCTGTGTTCAGAAGTCGATCTTAAGATCCTGTGAGATCCTGAATCTCAAAGATTCCACAGATGCACTCACTGCTCTGCTAACCATAAGGCAGGAAACCAGGTGTTTGTATTTTATAAATATTTGCAACAATATGCTTAACAACAATAAAATTTTTTTGTAATCTTCTGAGTTGACCACAAAGTCCAGCCAACCATATTCCTCACTCTCCAGGGTTTTATTTATGCCCAGGGCTGGGCTCCAGCTTTAGTGTCCATTCCAGGCCAGCTGACTGTTAGTAGTGTGCCTTCCTCTGCCTCTGGCCTTAGTCTGTCCTTGACTAAATTGGGAGAAAGTCCCATCTACCATTTTGATCTTTGTTTGAGCAGCCGGTAGCACAGGGGAAGATCAGTGGGATCACTTCCTGTGTGGTTATGGAGAGTGTGAATGGAACATGCATGGGTGGGTCCTGGGAGCAAGAGAGAGAGGACCACCATGCTTCTGCTCCCAGGATGGAGAAGGTGCAACTGTGTGCAAGAGTTTGGGCAGGAAGAAGGAGGGACCACAGCCCATTGCCAAGACCTGATGAAGACAACAGTGCTATTGTTTTGGGTCTAAGAGTCAAAGAAGTTGCCCAGACCCATGGTAAAAGAACCTGAAGACGTCCTGATTATCTGGCTACCACCAAGAAGAGGCACCCCCAAAAAATGGGAGGACAAATTATCACTAATGGCAGACCAGTTCCTGAGCAGCCCCCAGAGGAGTGGAATTGTGTTCAAGTGTCACTTGCAGCCTGGGCCATGGGACCTGAATGCTGAAAGGAGATAAGCTCTGTATACTAGCTGCAGTCTGACCAGAAAATGAAAGGATAAGGTTCTCTCAGCACCCCGTAGCTGAGTGCCTGTTGCCTTTGGAGTCACTATGTCCAGACCTGGCCATGCGGCTTCTGCAGCAATAAAACAGGGATGACAGTACTTGCCTTTCTTGTTTCCAGGGCTCTCCTGACAAACACAGGACTAAAAGCACATTAAAATTTGGGGTGCATTAAAGGTAAGGGAGATTGTGACTTTTAATTTAATCTCCTCCTGCAGAGGGAAGAGAAGGCCACTGGAAGATTAAAAGAACCCCTTCTTGCTAATGGCTGGCTGACTTCTAGTAGACAGAGTGGTTTCATATACACTTTCTCCTCTGGCCCTCTGTAAGCCAGAGGTTATTAGTCCCATTAGACAGATGAGAAGAGACTTTGAGGCTTAGGAAGGGGAACTGACTTGCTCAAGGTTGTAAGAGTTGACCCCGTATCATGAGTGCTGTATGGGGATTCATCCTGAGTTAGTGGCTGGGGTCAGTACCCGGGAAGAGTATGAGTAAAGCGGCTCATGGCAAGATACTCCATGAAGGCCCTTCACACCCCCATGTAGGGGGAGAAGTACCAAAGGAAGAGTTAGGGAAGAATTGAACCCTAACATTTGTCCAGAGCAGAAAACCCATGAGACAGAGCATAGTTCAGAAAGAGAAGCCCTTTTTGTAGGTATGATTCCGTCCTGCACACACACCCTTCTCCCCGCCCCCACCACACACAAAATAGCCTTCCTGCAACAAAACATGATTGCACTAATGGGGGAAGGGTTGTGTTACCAAGTGTCTGTAAATCAGGACTGGTGGGATCGTTGGGGTGGCCTGGAGTTTAGAGCCCTCAGCCACTTCAGGGCCGTTGAGCGCCCCTTTGGCTATACCGGGAAGAACTTCACCTGGTTTTCCTTCAGTTTCTTCTGTAGCTGAAGGGCCAGTGCCTGCTCATCTTCAATCTTACTGTTCTGCTGACTAATGTCAAACTCCTTCCTGGAGGAGAAGAGGGGGTGAAAGGTGGTCTTCCTTCCTCTGTGCCCGTTCTCTTCTCTTCCCTCGGCATGCCAGGACCAGTCCCCTCCCTGCTGGCCCAGATGTTGAAGGAGGGAGAACTGTGATTGACACCTCATTGTGCCCAGAGCAACCATGACCAGTGGAGGTACAGCACCGTGTGCTCTAACCCTCTGGCCAGATCCCTCCATTAGTCCCTCCTGGCCGCTGAAGGCTCCTACTTCTTGAGCTTTTCTTCCAGCTGCAATTTGTCATTCTCCAGGTCCATGATGCTCTCCTGGGTCAGTTTCAGGTCGCCCTCCAGCTTCCGCTTTGCTCGCTCCAGGTCCATTCGAACTTTCTTCTCCTGCTCCAGGGACCCCTCCAGCTGGTGGAGAGAAGAAAACAAACAGGGCACAGAAAACTTGAGATCCACAGTGTCTGCTTGTCTGCTCCCTTCTAAACTCAAAGTCCAGTCGATTGGAAGTCAAGCCACCAGGGAAATCCCTGCAGGCACAAAGGATTTAGAGGCAGAGCCTAGGGAGGAACTACAGAGAGCAAAGAGGACCCAAGGGTCATAGAAGTTACTTCTAGGGATCAGGAACCCCTGGGCCATTGGTGTCACCTGCAAAATCCTGACCTGAGAGAGATGGAGCATGGCTCTTACTACTCACGTCATCCACCTGCTGCTCCAGCTTAACTTTAGACTTGGTCAATGTGTTGACCTTGTCTTCCTCAGCCTGAAGGTCATCCAAGGCCTGCTGATGCGCCTCTTGCAGAGCTTTCTTCTCTTTGGTCAGCTTGGCGATGATTTCATCTAGTCCAGCCATCTCTTCTGTCAGGTTTTTTACCTGCCGACCAAGAACCCCGTCCCCTTTAGGTTCAAAGGTCACCAGCCTGGAGACATCTGTAGAGACCTCCATTACCGAGGACCATGACCACACTCTGGGAATCCCAAGGAGACCTGGACTGGAGCCAGAGGGAGCTGCCCTCACCTTGTTCTCTGTTGCGTGCTTCTCTTTCTCCACCTTGGCCAACGTCAGCTCCAAGTCATCAATGTCCTTCTTGAGCTCAGAGCACTCATCTTCCAGCTTGCGTTTCTTGGCGGTGAGCTCGGCGTTCATCTCCTCCTCATCCTCCAGCCTCTCATTCATCTCCTTCACCTTGGCCTCCAGCTGGATCTTGTTCTTGATCAGCTGGTCACAGCGTTCCTCTGCATCATTGAGGTTATCTTGTTCCTGGGAGAGAGGACAGAGAGGAGAGCTGGTGATTAAAAAGAGGAGATCCAGGGTCTTAGTCCCTGATGATGAGATGGATTATAATCTAGGGAAGAAGAGAGAAATGAAGAGACAATCATGTGTTCTCACCGCCTGCACTTGGAGCTGTAGGTCGTTCTTCTCCTGCAGCAGGGACACCATCTTTTCCTCCAGCTCCTTGCGGCGAGCCTCGGACTTCTCCAGCGTCTCTTTGATGCGTCCAAATTCCTCCTTTATGTTGGCCATTTCCTTCTCTGTCTCTGCACTCTTTAGCAGAGGCTTGATCTTGAAGTAGAGCTTCATCCAGGGCCAGTTCTTGACTCCCATGAAGGCCCGAATGTTCCACTGGATTACCAGCAGGGCATCCCTGGCAAAAAACATGGAGGAAAGGAGGAGAGCTATGAAAGAGCACTTCTCAATCATGAGGCCAGTTGCACTTGGCTCCCAATCCACCTAAGCAAGTGTGTAGGCACTTGTAGGCAGGAGCCCTGTCTTGCAACCTTGGTAAGCACCCCCACCCCAACAATACCACACTGAACATGGAGTTGCTCAATAAACATTTACTAATTGACCAATTCAATGAAAGGGCAGTTTACATCTTCTCTACTGGGGCATTAGGAGTAATGGACACTACCACTTATAGAGTATCTACTATGTTCAGTGCTTGTAATTTTATAAGAACCTCAAATATGTTAAAATTATATTTTACACAAAAGAATATCTATATATATAAATTATAAGGCATGAAATGAAGTGACTATCCATGAACTTATCATCCAAACAAGAACTAGAGCATTGCCAGCGGTAGGTCTACCTGTGTGTTCCTCCCCACTCCCTTTCCTGGTCCCCCCACCAAAGCAGCCACCTTGAATCTTGTGTTTTTCATTTCTTAGCTATTTCAAAAAATACTTCAACAATACATGTATGTATCTTTTTAAAAATATGCCACTGTTTTTATTATTTCTGGGTTTTATAAAAATTGTATCAGGGGCTGGCTGAGTGGCTCAGTTGGTTAAGAGCTCGCTCAAGAGTTTGAGCTCTGAGCAACAGTGGTTCGAGTCAGCCCGAGCTGAGCAGCCGTGA